CATCCATCCATCCATCCATCCATCCATCCATCCATCCATCCATCCATCCATCCATCCATCCATCCATCTTCTTCCGCTTATCTGGGGTCGGGTCGTAGGGATAGCAGCTTCAGTAGGGAGGCCCAGACGTCCCTCTCCCCAGCCACTTGGGCCAGCTCCTCCGGGGGAATCCCAAGGCGTTCCTAGGCCAGCAGAAAAAAACATAGTCCCTCAAGCGTGTCCTGGGTCTTCCACTGGGCCTCCTCCCGGTGGGACGTGCCTGGAACACCTCACCAGGGAGACGTCCAGGAGGCATCCTAATCAGATGCCCGAGCCACCTCAACTGGTTCCTCTTGATGTGGAGGAGCAGCGGCTCTACTCTGTGTCCTCTCCGGATGACTAAGCTTCTCCCCCTATCTCTAAACCCGGGTGTACACTGTGCATTTTTTTTTTCAATCGTTTCACGCAGCTAATGCTCACACTATACGACTAACCGCAAGGTTTAGTCGTATAGTGTGAGTTTACAGCTCACGATTTATGTTCGGCCCGATGCTCTGATGCGATCTACCTGCTCACACTGTACGACTAAAAACCATGTCGGACTCAGCTCCGCAGTGAGATGGAGCTGCTCTGACTCGTCTATCCAGAAGCCAAACGAGTAGCAGGGGAATATTAGGCTCACTAGAGTGAAACGCGCTGCCTTGGCAATTTGTGCATTTTTGTGCTGAAAGCCCTGGAAAGAAAAGGCAATGACGTATTTGCAAAAAGACATGGCTAAGCAAACATAGCTACTATGGTCTGTCAATTTTACAGACAGAAGTGCATTTCACTCATTGCACCCCTGCCTTGCTGCTGCGTTTACATCTGAGAGGAAGAATAAAAAGAAGAATTCTTGTTTGCGCATGCGCCCTGAGCGATTTGCACACAACGGTTCCTGATCGGGAGGAGGTCATGAGAGGCTGATCGCCGCTTATTACCCCCTGTACACTACACGACTCACGACGCACGATCAGGCTGAAAGTCGGGCCAATCGAAAGATTCTTGCACGACTGGAAAATCGCCCCGAAAATCGCACA